AACAAAACAAATCCTAAAACTCCTATATCCACATAGTATTCAGAATTAAAAGGACTCTAAAGTTATTAAAACCAGTCTTAGCATTGCCAGAAAGCATCACAAATCTCATTAAATATATTTTTAAACTAAAATACAATGTGAAGAAAAATATTCCTCATAGTGTATGAATCTAGTCATCTATTACAAGGAAAATCACAGTAGAAAGACATACAAAAAATCTCATCCTCATAATTTTCTTACTGGATGACTTAGTGTATCACAAGCATAAGAAAACACTGGCTTCTATTTCAGTATTTTGCAAGCTGTCACAAAAGCTGATGAATCTGATGATAATGTACAAACAAACCCAACTGTTGTATTGATGGAAACAATGGTAGTTTAGCTATTCAACCAAGAAAAAGCATACTCGCCTGGATGGAATTTGCAGTGCTTTATTGTAAAGAAATGAGGTAACAAAAACCTATCTGATTGAGTGGCAGGTCATAAATATACTTTTACTACTGTTTTCTAATGTCTGTGTTGGCTATTTGAAGTATCTGTCTTGCTGTAAATATTGTATGATTTGATTAGCAGATAATAGTATAACTGTAGTGAATAACCATCAGCAATCTGCCAGATAATTCCTGAAGTTCTAGTTCCCAATAAAGTAGAGATGGTCAGAGATACAACCATATGACAAGACAGCAATAAAGAAATTATGATTTACATATAGAACCCCATCTTTTGAAGAATTATGTTGGATAATTGCCTTAATTTTTCATTAATATGATAGAGATATTAAAAAAATAAACAAGACTTTAGACTGTCAGTACTTAACTCCATGTTGGTAGGATTTGAGACAAAGTCCATAATGTTAGCTCAATCAGTTTTCTACAGAGCTCATAATTCTATAACAAAATAAAATTTAACAGTAAAGAAAGAAGATGAATGAGTAATTTGACTCCTATGCTTAAAAGTTCTTTGATGTTCATTAGTCTTGGGTCAAAAATGCCCAAGATTCAAATACTGAAGAAAATGTGATGACTGTAACTGTGAAATTTTAGTTTTGTGAGGAAAATATAGTCCTTGAAGTGCTCAGAAAGTTTGATGAAGTGATTCTGGAGAACTTGCCAGCTTCTCCTTTCAAAACTCAGAAAAATTCAAAGAAGCCTAGAGTATTCTGTAGATGAAGAAAAAAAAAACAAACAAAACTCTGAGCAGTGTGATTCAAAGAGGAAGAACAATAATGACTTTTTAAATTATTCAGTCTCTAGATTAAATTAGATTGTCAATTTAATTTTTTTTCTGGATACATATTTGTCATTTGTTATTTCCTTACCATGGGGAAGTTGTATTAGTAGAACTTTTGGTAACTTGCCCAAAAATACCAAGGGAAATAAGTATAGCTAATTGTGATATATGTTGCAAAACAATGGTAAGTAATATTTTATGCTTACTTTCATGCTAATAATAATTTGAAATCAAGTACTGCTGATTATATAACATTTGTGAATAACTGATCTTGCTCATCAGGTAGTGACAAGGTGCATTGATAAATGAACATACTGAAGCTTTCAGAATGATTTCTGAAGCTGTTAGTCACTCCATTTTCTCACATATCTATTCTGACAATTTAAAAACTGATGCATCTTCTGAATAATTACATTTGAGTTAACCATTCCATAGCTGTTGATGTTCAGACAAGTGAGGCAGTGAAAGAAGTGGTAGAAAATGAGTTCTTCAGACCTTATCATCCGGTTTTCTTTGATTTTGTGTCATAGAAATTTGTGTGTCTGCTTTCAAGTATTTTGAACAACAGTATTTGTTTGGCTTGTTTTGGAAAGAAAATCTGTCTTGACTTTGGACACACTCTTACTCAAATGACAGTAGTTTTTATGTTTTTTTAAGAAATAACTTCCATGAAAAACAGAAGCCATACCCATGTAAGTATCTCTTGTGTATTCAGTAAATGAGAAAATAGATAGTGTTCTGAAGGGTAGTTGCAGCTCTTGTTCATGAACCTCAGTGCATTTTGTGTTAACTACAGCCATATAGAAGGTTCTAATCAGCAGGATTTTAAAGCATTTGTGTAAGTTTAATTTGTTTGCTTCTGTGGGACTTCACCTTTATTATCTCCACAGTCTGCTTTACTTTTTCCCCCCCTTTTTTCCCCTTTTTTCCCTTTTTTCCCTTTGTTTTGGTCTTTTTTTTCCCTTTTTTTCATCTCCTCTCCTTGTCCTGCCTCACCTTGCCTCCTCTTCCTCTTCCTCTTCCTCTTCCTCTTCCTCTTCCTCTTCCTCTTCCTCTTCCCCTCCCTCTCCCTCTCCCCTTCCTTTCCCTTCCCTCCCCTCCACTAACCTCCCCTCCCCTAACCTCCCCTAACCTAACCTAACCTTCCCAAATCTTCCCTTCTCTAGCCTTCCCTTCCCAAACCTTCCCTTCCCTAGCCTTCCCTTCCCAAACCCTCCCTTCCCAAACCTTCCCAAACCTTCCCAAGCTCTCCTTCTTTTCTTTTTTCTTGTTCTTTCTCAACTTCCCCTCTCCCACCTTTTTTTTTTTTTTTTTTTGGCTATTGTTGCTTGGCAGCAGGATAATTGCTGTCTTTTTGTGCATTCTGCATTTTTGCCACTCCATTTAATAGGACCATATTGGCTTCCTCTCTTGTTGGTACACTGTGGGTCAAGTGTAGGCATGTGCGTGCTTTACAAATTTATCCCATCATTGCTAATATCTGTCCAGGATGTTAGTAGCTGGTGGTTTTGTTTGAGGGACACTTCATGCTGTAATTCTTGACTGCAAATCACTTTTTGTTTCTTTTGTTCATTTATAATGAGAAACTGAAATGGACCTTAAATAATTCCTTCAACGAATACATTAACCAGACTCTGCCATTGTGCCTGTTTAAGAACTGAAAATAATTAGGACAAAGCCACATTTCTTTCACAAAGCCTTAAAAGAAGTCAGGACATTACCATTAAGGTAGTTCATGAATTCAGTCTCTGTGGAAAGGCAGGGAGGAAAGAAAAAAAGATTAAATATATTTCAAAACTAGCAAAAAGATTTCTGGTGGGAACATTTCACTGTTGAATAAAACATTCCCTTGGGAATTACATTGCTATTTGAGTTTGTACTTTAAGGCACAGAGTGAGTACCTTCAGAGAAACGAAACAAGAACCTCCTTCTCTCTTTAAAAATTCTAAACCTACAAAACCACTACAAACATTAGGCAGTTTCCTAAGAGACTGGCTGTTGATTCAGAAACAATAATTTCATCAGCGTTTGGAAAGACTGGAATTGGAAAGCAATATTGTTGATATTCTGCTCTCAGGAAAAATGTGTTTTCCTCATGAGTAAAGATTTTTGGTGGTTTGTTTATTTCTGTCATATAACTTATCCTTCCTGGGACATGCAATCCTGTTTTGAGCTGCCAGAAGAAGATATTGCACCAATATCAAGCTAAGAATCAAAGACATGAAATCAAAGGGCTGTGAGGCAAGAATGAGCCATTACCTATCCATGCAAAGAAAAGCTGGGAAGCTAACCTCTAAAGGTTACTTTAAAAAAAAAATTCTGCATGAACAAAGAGAACTTCCCTTCAATCCTTCAATCCTTACTTGTAGAAAGTAATATAGATAGAAAAAATATAGATAGAAAACAGATAGAAAAAAGATAGAAAGAAATATGCTGATAACAGTTAGCTTAGGCCTGGGACAATCTCTTCCACCTTCAGCAGAGATGCTGAACTTTGTCAGAATTGAAGGTGAAGAATTTAACACAGTTAACATGCTGAGAATCTGACTACTTTCTTACAGGCTCTCTACTCAGTGTATGAGTGTTGTGTGTACAATCACCTGAGTTTTCTCCTGCTTTCCCACATGGCGTTAAATATTTTCTATATGGTGACACCACTCCCGTAGGTCTTCCAGAATGCCAGTAATGGAGAGGCTCATGTGAAAGCTATCTATACTCACATGAGCACATTTGTTGCTGGCCTGTGGAGTCACTGGGAGCTTAATACCATCACCACTGGCAGATTTGTTATAATAGCCCACAGTTTCCTTTCGTTTTATAACAGTGGCCTAGAAACGAAACAAATCATCTTGTCTGACCTCATAAAAACAGAAGAGAAAATAAAAGCTTCATTGTTTTGTCCTTGTTTTGGCAATAAAACCATTTGTTTGAACTGAATATGAAGAGATACACATTTTAGAGAAGGGGAATTTTCATGGGGAAAACAGTCTTCACAACTCCGGAGTTCAGTCGGTGAGATAGAAATGGTAAAAGAGAAATCTAACCTGGAGCTATTACTACCTCTGCCTAAAATCAGATTTTTTTCTTTGGAGTCTACCTTGTCTCTCACATGGATTCTTCTAGTCTTTGGTTTAAAGCAAGAGTTGGCTTCATGACAGTAAACACTTCAAATTATCAGCTGCATTACAAATACATTGACACAGTCTTTCTGATTACCTGGATCTGCATATTTCCCCATGGGGACCCAGAAAATTCATTCGGAAAATTTTGAACATTTCTGAAACATGTAATAAGGAAACATAGAATGAGAGAGAATAATTTGGAGAATCATTTGGAGAATGATGTCCTTAATTAAATAGGGTAGTATCTCCTTTTGGATATATTTATACTAAAAACATAATGTGATCATACCCAAGAAATTCCGAGAAGGCAATGCAGAATAGATTTTAGATTGTGCACAGTTTTCTGGTTCTCCACAGAGGAATGAAAAATTTTCAGTCATTAACAGTGGCAGAATCAGGCTGTAATGTCTCTGCATATTTTAAATCCTTACATAGACTTTGTTAAAGACAAACACCTTTCAGAATTTAGATTTTGAGACAGACTATAATTGCTTCTGAATTTGAGACCTGGTATTGGACTTGTACCCCTCTCTACCCACCCTTCTTCTGATTCCATTTTGGAGAATAAAGGAGAAGAAAATTTGAATCAATATTGGAGCACAAAACCGTGGCACATTAAAGGCAACAGTAATAATTTTCTTATTTCAGAACTCCCTGTGAGATTTTGTCAAACATTTTCTTGAGGCACCAGTGGTATGAGTCAAGTTCATTGGACAGTTAGAAGCTGCTTGGATGCACCTGTGAGTCTTCTGGGATGCTTTTCCTTCTTACATGATTGGCAGGGCTGAAGGATGTAGCAAAGCTCTTGCCACCCATGTGAAAGTGTGGCACTCTTGGAAGCATGCAGGTAATAAAGTGGAATGTTGTTAAGTTTTATTGAGAATAATTCAGAGTTGAAATACATGCATAAGTTGCTATGATGTTTAGAGTGGAGTTTAGTCCAAAAAAAGACATTGTGTAATAACTTGGCTTGTTAAAACCTTGCATTCCTCATTCTTCACTGTAAATGTCACTGCTACTTTTCTGATATTTAATACCTTACATTCTGTCACATACTTCCCATTCTAATTTGTTTCTGTCATGAAAATCAAGAGATTCATACCTGAGAATACTACTACTTAGACGAAGCAATCCTTCTTATCATTGTCAAAACACTCTAGGCCTCTTGGGAAAAAAAAGTGAAGTTAAAGAACCTGATTTTTAAAAACAACTTTGTCAGAAGAAGCATTTTTTAATGAACTAGTACAATTTTTTTGCCTCAAGTTTTGATGTTAGTGATAATTTTCTGCGTACTTTGGGCTTTGGATATCCAAAATAAAAACAGGTTCAACTGAGCAACTGTCACCTTGAAACAACTCTGCGATGTGCATAAATAGTTAATTATAAATACCTGAGGCCACATTTGACACTTCTGCTTTGTGAGTGAGATACTTGAAATTCCTCTTCCTCTGCACTGAGAAAGGTGGTATTGCAGGTACCATGATTGTTTGTGTCAGATTCCTGGCCTGTGTTTTCACTTCTGTGCCTCAAGAATTCAGCAAAATTCCACTATTACACCTTGCTAACAAAGAATTATTATTAGTTTACTTTATTGCTGATCACAGCAAAAGTAATGAAACTGCTTCCACAGTGGCACAATAACCAAGTGCAAGAAAACTTAGGCTTTGTTGACTGGGATTCATCCTTTCACCCTCTGGTTTGTGTAGGTCTTTTATTTTCTAATTCTGTATTTTTCAGCCTGATTCCTCAAAGGTTTCTGCCACATTGACTCGCGCCACTGGATCTAATGGAACAACTAATGATTTGCATTGGTTTAAGAGAGATAGAAACTGCACTAAAATGAGAAAAACATTATTTTTTAAGTATTTGCTGGAATTTTGCCTCATATCAATTTCATAAAAGGCTCCTTTGCAATGTCAGTTGAGCATGTGAATACCCAGATAACTTCCTCATTCTGACAGACTTCAATGCTATGCTGTTGATCTTCATGTGCACTAGTGAAACCACATTTACAGTGCTGATTGCAGGTCCTTGGAAAGCCACATATTGCTGTGCATGGTTGCTGCTGCTTCAGGTCAGATTTCTGCCAGGCTACTGTCCGTTTCTGTGGTTTGCTCACTGCTTAAGAAGGGCTACATGGTCTTATTTTTGAAGATTGTTTTCTAAGCTTGTCTTGTCATGAACTGGAGGAAGACAGATCAGAAATAGGGTGGCTGTGTTATGATGAAAATAGGTTTCCTGAGGGAATTAAGTGGTCATATGTATGTAGCCAAAACTTTAAGGAAACTTGAAAAATGGATAACAGTCTTTCAGGATGTTATTCCAATTTACTGACACTCATCTTTAATGGATTTATTGCAGTTCTCTCAGTAAGGATGGCCATAATCTACTAGGACTAAGTTCTATCAGACAATATATAAATTAAGGTGAATCCAGGGGGAACTACTACTCAAAGCAGAAAATGTATGATATAAATCAAGAGGAAAATAACCTCTTTTAGATGACTGCATGCTTTTCAGTTTTCTTTTTTAAATACTTTGTTGTTAAAATTCGCTAAATTAAAAGAAAAATAAATCATTCTTTCATAACTGCTTTTCTGCTTTTTTATGTCTCATCTTCTTATTTTATCCTCAGTATCCCGGTGTCTTTTTTAGACTACATTGCTCTGACTCTTCTTTCTGAATAGTGCCTCTGTCCTCTATTTCCCTCTTGTGTAATTAGGAGTAGTCAAAACATTAATGTTGATATGGTAAACAGTTAAGTTTTAAGGGTTAGCAATACTTTACTGAGATTGTTGTTACTGCATATACATTCTTTATCAGTAGATTTCATTTATTTTGAGAATTGGATAAAAATTGTAATAACAGGTTACTGACTGCTCTTACAAGGAAAAGAATTTGCAAAATCTGGCTATATTTGTGTAGGAACAAAGTAAGAAAAGTGGGAAGTGAGATCATTGGTGAGGAAGTGACTGTTTATGCTGTTTGTAATTTGACTTCTGAAATTAGAAGCACTGAGATCTGGACAGGCTGGATTGATGCACCTAGGCCAATGGTGTAGGGTTCAACAAAGCGAAGTGCCGGATCCTGCCCTTGGATCACAAAAACCACAGGCAGCGCTACAGGGTGGGGGAAGAGTGGCTGGAAAGCTACCCAGAGAAAAAGAACCTAGGGGTGCTGGTTGATAGCAGCTGAACATGAGACAGCAGTGTGCTCAGGTGGCCAGGAAGGCCAGTGGCATCCTGGCTTGTATCAGAAATAGTGTGGCCAGCTGGACTAGGGAAGGGATCGTCCCTGTCCTCAACACAGCTGAGGTCTCACCTCCAATCCTGTGTTCACTTTTGTGTCCTTCACGACAAGAAAGACATTGAGGTGCTGAAGCATGTCCAGAGAAGGGCAGTGGAGCTGGTGAAGAGTCTGGGGAACAAGTCCTGTGAGGAGTGGATTAGGGTAGCTAGGGTTGTTTACCCTGGAGAAAATGAGCCTCAGGGGGGAGATTATTGGTCTCTGCAACTATGTGACAGGAGGTTGTAGTGAGGTGAGGGTCAGTCTCACAGATGGCAAGCAATGGGATGAGAGGAAATGGCCTGAAGTTATGCCAGGGAAGGTTTAGCTTGGATATTAGGAAAAATTTCATCACGGAAAGGGTTGACAAGCATTGGAACAGGCTGCCCAGGGACCTGGTTGAGTCACCATCTCTGGAGATATTTAGAAGGCATGTAGATGTTGCACATAGGGTCTTGGTTTTGTGGTGGACTTGGCAATGCCGGGTTAAAAGTTGGACTGGATGATCTTAAAGGTCTTTTCCAACCTAAATAATTTATGATTCTATAATTATCATTGAATTTGCTGATCGTGAGTGGTTAAAATTAAAGTAGAGAATATTATGTGAAAGTAGAATAAAAGTACAGTTTTTCTTTCTTGAAATAACTTTAACTTGCATTTTTGGCCAATCTTGGGTTGAAACATTTTTATGATATGAGCTATTTCAGAATAATTTTTATTTGTAAGATAATGATTTGTCAAAAAAAAAAATGTGTCAGTCTCAGGGCTTCTTCTTATTTGGGACACATGCATATTTCTATCTTGGACACCCCTGAGGATTCTTCATTGCTATGACTCAATAATATAAGAGTAATATCAGTGCGTGTATCTCTCAATGTTATCCACAAGGCAGGAAGCTACGTAAAAATTTTAAAACCCTTGTAAAACTGTCCCTGTTATGTAAAGTATTTGCTGGGGTTTTTGTTTGTTTGTTTGTTTGTTTTTTGTGGTTTGGTTTTTTTTAATTTAACTAAAAATTTACAGCAGAAGATCGCAGAGCAACCAAATACGGGTCCCCTGTATTTTACTACTTAGAGGCAAGAATCTTACGTCAAAGTAAAGATCTCTTATATTAATGGGCATAAACTTTGGATTTAGGGACTTAATTCTTAATTCTTCCCATTACCCACTTCATATAAAGATATTTCCACCCCCCTGTGAAACTTTATTAGTTTATCTTCTTCTAGTGAGTCTCTTTTAGCTGCGCTAGCTTTACAGCAGCTCTGATCTCAGTTCCCAGCTGTCAGAGAGGATTGCGTCCTCCCAAACAGCAGTACCAACTCACCTTAAGGGAATGGAAGGGTAAGGCTGTACTTCATCCTCCCTCTGGACAATACACATCATGTTACTCCCAGGCTCTTCTTTGAACTTCTCAGCTAGGATAAGTAGATACAGCATAATTAGCTATACAGAACAAGGAATAGAAGAAATAGTCATAATAAAAACAGCAGAGCATGGACTTCGTTCTTAGAAAAAATTTAGTTACTGCAGCTCCTGTGAGTAATGACAGTCCATTTATAAGTACTATGCTTATCTTAATTACATGAGGAATTGCTATATCTACCATTCCTGATTATAGTATTTTGTCCCTGAGATGTAGAAACAAAAAAAGAACCAGAAACTCGAAACTCTATGACTACCATGCCTGAGTATCTCATATACCTTTATGAGAAGATAAATCAGTATCTATTCTCTCAATCTGAATGACCTTTAAAATACGTTGTGGAGTCCTGAAAACTGAAAAATCTACTACATTTGCAGAGATAATACAGTTTCTTATTTTTGGTTGATAAAAACCTTTATGGATTTCTCTTGTAGTGGATTTCTTTAGAGTCAGTCAAATGAAACAACAGTGTTTCAACATGTTCCATTAATATGTAAAAAACTCCTCCCCAGTATTTCACTGGTTTCCAACACTTCTAATTTACTTTACACCTGAAAAAAAATTCTTTGGCTTGAATAACCAAAGAAAAAAGGGATGTGGGAACATGAAGAATAATGTGAATTTGCTTTAATTATTTATTTTCAAACCCTGTAAAATGTCATAATTGTACCTAGGATTGTGCTTTGGAAGTCATTGGTTAGTCAGTTACTGAAGAAATAACCTCTTTCTCAAGTAGCTTATATATATTCCTTAAAAACAATAGGTATAAAGTTAGTTTAAATTATTTTGAATTTATGTGCATATGGAAGTTTTCCAGCTGAAGTACTTATAAATAATTTTTTTCTGTCCCTTAGAAGTTTTAAGCTCTGACTTTTTATGACAGAGCAGTCATAATTCTAGACAAACATGATCTGTTCTATAAAATAGAAATACAATCTAAATGCTAATTCATTTCACAAAAGAGTTTTTAAACATTAACTGCCTTATAGACCATAGCTGTAAATAACACTGTAGAAACTTCTTTCACAAAAAAATCTCATGTAAATGGCAGTTATTCATTAATGTACTGACATTCTTTAAATGCATATCAGTGTTCTCATTGATGGCAGTGCTGTCTGGCTAGAGTAAGTGTAGTAATGGAAGACAAAGGACCATTAATGGGCATTTTAACCTTCCAGTCATATTTATCTGGATACTATGATTGTGTCTGTGACAGAATTAAAATTGTGCATTTCCTAATTGCATGTTTTCCTTCTAGGTTTTTGGAGATCAAAATCAAGGAGCAGTTTTCCTACGTGAATTTACATTGATTCGGAGAGAAAGTCTTCATGATGATTTCGTATCAGATTTGCTGAATAACCACAAAATAGAAGATCCGGTAGGAATTCTCTGTTATTCCAAAATACTTAATAAAAAATTATTGCAGAAATATGAATTGTTGTGATAGGCCATTGATTCTGCTTATTAATTTATGGGAAGTAACAAAGCCAGATTTTTTTAACTACATAAAAATGTCACCCTAAAAAAAAAAGTACAACCTGTATTTCTCAATTCGTAGGAGCAATCTTTTCTTTCCTTTAATATCCACTGAAATAATGGTATATCTAATGAGAAAACCTGCTGCAAAACTGTTTCTAACAATGAGACACCGAGAAAGCAGCCGCTTTTATCATAGTTCCTCAGTCAATGTCCCAGTAAATCTCTCACTGTGGTTCTTTTTAGAAGTCCAGTGATTTACGTATGGTAAGCTTTTCTTATAAAGGGCAAGAAAAAGTTTGCAACTTTTCAAAATCTGTGTGCACACAGAGCCTCAGTGAAAGTTGGGCAGCTAATGTCTTGATTATCATTTGTAAAGTCTTTAAACTTTCTGTTTTCCCCTGATGATGACATGAGCTGATTTGATGCTTTCTGGGAAAATTTAGGTTGCTGATCCATATTTTTAAGTTACTGTCTAAAGAATATGCCTTCACTCTTCAAAAAAAGAAAATGTGTGACTATTTTTGTTGGTAGCTGAGAGCATCTAAAAAGCTTGATTCACTTCTGATAACGAAAAATAATAACCCCATAACTCCATAACCACTTGGGAGAAGAGGTGCATTTCCAAGGGTGCCAGATATATTTTATAGTATTTGTATTTTATAGTACAAACGAGAAAATGGCCACAGTCAACGAGCAGAGTTTAATAGCTTTCTGAGCCTGTGCATTAAAAGCTGTTGGTAATGATGCTGTAGTAGTACCTTTCAATTCTCAACAACATTTGGAGAGCTCAAAAGAGTTTTTGTTTTCTTTTAACCAGTTACTACAGCAAATACGCTTAATGAGAAAATACAGCACCTGCTTGTAAGGCAGTTGTAAGGAATTGTGTGCAAGACTGTATGTTTAAAAGTGCAAGATTGTATGTTTAAAAATACAAGTTAGAGAAAATATCTTAGATTGTGACAGTCTATGTCCAATGAAAAATACAAAGCAGTATGTCACCTTTTTTTTGCTGGACTATAGCGGATGCCCTGTTTCTACAATCTGTAGGCTTTATCCTGGTTATTGAAATGACTCACAGAGATGTTTTCCTCATCTCTCAATTATATTTCCAAACTCAGAGAAAATGCGATTTAGCCTCTTAATACTGTAGCCATTTGGTCTTACTTTCCATTTCAATATAAGCACTAAAATCCATGCTGGTAACTCTACCATCATTTACTTCAGGGGGTAATTTACTAGAAGCCAGAGGAGGATTTATATTTTTATAATTTTCTGTCTTTTGCAAAGACAATAGCTGAGATTACACTAACAAAATTATTCAAAGGAAGCCACTGAGGTGTTTCTGAGTTTCTAAGTTATGTTGAATTTCCTTCTTCTTCTGGAAAAAAAAAAAAGAAAATAATTCAAGAACTTGGGCAAAATAATTTAAAATACAATGGATTTAGACAAAAAACTTAAGATTCAGGAAATTCCTAGTTTAAAGAATGTCCCAAGGATTATAATCCTACATTTTTTGGGAAATTCCTATTTATGTATTCCTGCCCCATGACAGATAAAGAAAAATGCTTTGATGATAGGAGGGACTCTCCTCTGACTAGCCTTACCTTGTATTTGCTCTTTGTAAGTAAGAGATCTTCCTGGTGCAAATTAAGACAGTCCAATGTATGCTGCTGCCAGTCCAATTACTTGAAAATCATTATTCTGTCCTGGCAAAACTATAATGTTGAATTAAATATTTTGGAGTGTAAAGCAGAGCTGTCTGTATTTCTCGTGCTCCCAAACATCAGGAATTGTTTAAGAGTTCTCTGGAAAATAATGCCCTCAGAGAGACTGAAATCACAAGTGTTTTGAAATGTTTGTCAGTTTATACTTTTAATAATGGTTACCTTTTTCCTCCAGACTAAATTGCTCTAAGATAAAAGTTTTTATCTTAAAGGTTCACCTGATTTTAAGTGAGATAGTATTAAATATGTTTAGAGATCTGTGGATCATCTAAAACCAAAATTAGAATGGACCGTTGGCACTTGCCATTTACCTTAATTCTAAATGTCTACAAGTACTCAGATACCAAAAGATTTGAATACTTTCTTGTCCATTTTTCTGATCGTCTCTTAATAATACTGTTTACATCCCTTTAAAAATAGAAGCATTACCACAGAGTTTTTGGATCCCTAACTGTTCCTGTATTTTTCTGTTAGAAAGCCAATCTAGTACTAGTACTCAGGGAAAAAAAAAATTACATTCCAAAGCTTTGAGTCCAGATCCCACAGCTGCAAAAACTATCCCATGACTGTATCTAGTGCTGGAGTTGAGACAGGAGAAAAGGAGGCCATTTTTAGAAGGACTGAGTTGTAAGCCTTGCCCGTGTTAGGAAAATGAAAAATGGTAACACAATTAAGCCATTGTTTGTGTAATGATACAGAACACTGTTTGATCTACCATAGTATTTAAACAGAGTTACATTTATGCATATCTGTTCCAGATACCTCTCTTCTACAACTAAATTTTTTTATAGAATCTATCAGATTAAATAGCTTTTCTATTTACTAAATTTTTTTATAGAATCTATCAGATTAAATAGCTTTTCTATTTGCTTCACTGAATCACTGGAAAGTCTTTTTTTTGTTGTTACATTGTTTCCACTCTGTGTGAGTGTAATTCAAAAAGCTAGGGTTTTTTTATGCTAATATGATATGAGAGTGCTCTCTGTGCATGGAAGTCTTGCTTCTGTGCAGTTTAATAAAAGTCTTTTGAAAGTGTAAATTGCAGCTGTAGTGTAAATAGTTCAAGAATAAAATTAGTTAAGCAAAGTTATTACACTCAAAATATGTATGGTTCTAGCTTTTCAAAGCAAACACTTAACATCACTGTCTTATAAGGTGTCACTTCATTAAAATGAGCAGTTCTTCTTTTTCTTTAATTGGCAAAATTTATGTATTAGTTTCTGTGGAATTTAGTAAGGTACAACAGGTGAAGGATAAGTGTCAAGTAGATGAAAGAATAATATAAAAGGTCTCTAGCAAGAAAGACAGGATACTGACCTGAGGTATTCCAAATTTCTTCCTCTAACTGAGGTTATGAATTTCACCTTGAATTGTTCTACAGAAAGCAAAGCATGAGTGTAAAGAGCTATAATGTTTTAACAACTAGTGATGATGACTATCTCATTCAAATGTTTTGAAGGAAAGTACTTCTTTTGTTGGACTGAGATTACATCCTTGACTAAGAATACCTTATTCTACGGCTAGGCAAATATTTGCAGATTTTCTACATTATAGATATTAACTGATGCTAGCTCTTTGCAAGTTTATCATTCCTCTTACTTTCATAATTCTGTGTTAGGTTAGTATATCTTTAAAGTTCTGTTAGTTGTTTTTTTTTAATATATGTATGTACATTATATATGCCATATATAGGTAATTGCAGATAAATGTACTCCTTTGTAATGTGCATATGCCTATCTAGATGCCATGTTTGCAACACAAGTCTCAAAAGTCTGAGTAATGTAGACTTCTTAGCAAATGCTCACTACCAGGTTGTCTGAAACAGACTAGAAAAACAAATCACAGGTTATTCTTTCTGATGCCTGCTCAGCTGGTGCTAAGAAAAAATCCAGGAGCCGTTAATTAGGGTGAGATAAGGAAAGGGTTTAATTGTGCCAAGGCAATTGATGGTATACGATGCGCGTGCAGGCTGTGCCTGAGATGTTACATTTTATAACAATATCTGTCCAATCCCAAGTGTGTCCACCCCATAACTTTTGGCCTGATCCACCCCCTGGTCTACCCCCTGGAACTGGGTCTGGGGTGCATTTTGGGACCCTCTCTTCATCAACCTTCATCATCTTCGGGGTACAAAGAGCACAGAGTCACCCAGTTCTTGACTCCGTCTTGCGGTTTAGGCCAAGATACAAGAGTTCCCCAAACAGAACAGGCCTTGCCTTGACAAGAGACTAAACATTTTCTACTGGATACGGGGGGTAGGGCTGATATAGGGAGCATGGAATGGGGTAAGAGGGTTAAGGAATGTGTAAACTAAGGGGTGCTACAGGGAACAGGGAAAAGGGGCTGCTTTTAAAATCTACTTCTATTACTTATAAAACTTATAAGGTAGAAAAATAAGAAAAACCATTAGGGGCTTAAGGCATCGTTTCAGTTTTGCTTTCCCAGTCAAGATACTTTAGGACCAGAGGCTTTTCAAGAATGCTTCTCTTGCTTCCCAGTTGTAGAGAGCTTTCTTAGCTGCACTGAATATGGACAGAGTTTGTGATCAGCACTATCTGTTGCAGTTACTAGAGACTCTGCCTGCAGTCCTCCACCCCTGCTCAATGCCTCTCAGCATCACTGTAAATGAAAGGAGGATTATTTTTTTATATTCCTCATTCACCAGGGCCCAGGCTTCCTCCTGAGAATGAGGATTGGACCATCCAGCCTAGGGAGCTTTGACTGTCTGAGGGAGTTAACACATTGAAGGGATTAGAGAATGTTAGAAATGTTTAAGGTTTTTCCTTTTTGGGTCACAGTAAGCTACGCCAGGGCATTATTGCTAGAAAAACTATACTACTGAAAAACCACTGGCAGGGTTCAGAGTCTAAATTTAGATTTCTGACCTAAAATAAGTCTGTATGCCTGTGTATTTCCTAGCATGTGTGCCATGGCCTTGCTTCTGGTCTAGGACACTAGTTTGAAAACTCCTGCTCCTGAACTGTGCAGCAGGACATTGCCAATTCCAATATTGACAAAATGCATTGATGAGTATGTAGTTCACACTAATGATCAGAAGGCTTGGGTTCTAACGTCTTCACTGTCAGTGCCAGAAAATAAGTCTCGTTTCCTTTTAATTTGTCTTTTATTTGTTTTGTTTTGGTTTGGTTTGGTTTGTTTGTTTGCTTTAAATTAT